AGAAAGTGTAAAAAAAATGATATAAACCATAAACCAAAGATATATCAATAGATCTATTATATGCAGGGCAATAACTGCCATTTATTAAAACTCCATTATATAAATTAAATCCAAAGCATTAAAAATTAAATATATTGTAACACAGCCCACAAAAAAAATATTCTTTCTTGGTGTCTTGCTTTTCAGACCTGTTCTTGGGGTTATTTGGGACACTAATTCAGAAAATTGTATTGGCTAGACTGCATCGGCTTATGTTTCTTAGATGTGGTCTAATTTATATAAATTTTTTGTCAGATTTTTGAAGAGATCATGCTTGATAAACTTGTTCTTCTGTTACCTAGTTTGTGTTTTTGTGTATACGTTAGCAGATATGATCCTAGAGAAAGTGTGTGTATACAGGCGTTACCACTCATATTGTTTCAGTTTTGTAGATTGAACACTGAAGAGGTTATGGCTACTTTTTTATGTGTTTCCTTCATACTGCAAGGAGATTAAATAAAACATTATATTAAAATATCCTACATTTTGATGGGGGACCAGGCATGCACATACCCTCCCTTCCTTTTCTTCTCCATGGACTGTTGATGCAGAAAAGCCCGGTATTCAGCAGTACAAACCTAATGTTTTGTGAAGGGTGGTCCTCTGAAGCACATATCACTTATAAACTATAAAACAGGTCATGCCACCAAGCTTCAGGATCTTTAAAGCGGTAATAAACACCACATGGACACTTGTACCTACAGGTACGTTTATAATAAAGCTTACCTGCATGTAGAATAAATCCGTGCCAACCAATAGAAATAATCATGGTACCACATCTAAAGAAATACAGACTAAAAAAAAAATGAAGATTGAGGAAAAAAAAACATTTTTGATTCTGATTTTGGGACGTGGCACTGCTTACAACTTAGTTTGACCACAGAGCCACCCGGTGGCTGCCAGCTATCCTATATATGAAGATTGGATGTTCTCAGTACCTCTTTAGACAGAATACAGCAATAACCTTTTACAGTCATCCTAATGTTATTACAATTATTAAAATAAATCCATAAATTAGATATTACAACATCAAAACATGCATATAAAAGTATTACTCCCTAACAGCTGAAATGCCTTTCCTGTCATAGATGGAGGACATATACCGAATAATAAATGCAATTCAAAGAACTGAAGGTATTAACAACATGATGGAACGTGCGTACAGTTAATGTATCTTGACGTGTTTCACTGCTATAACCGCTTCTTAGGGAGTATGGAGTAGCTGCGATAAAAAAACATGTAAATAGTACACCATAATATATAATGCAAAAAACAGACATGGATTATAAACAATGTAGGAGCACAGGCTCCTAGATGTGGGATCCAAACCCTATGATGTAGGTACAACGAATATCTCATTAACATGCACCAGTTAAGATATATTGCTGTTCCTGTAGTCGGTGATGTCATCAGAGCATGCACTCTAAGGGACACCATATTCATATATCGACACCATACTCATGCTGTCCCTTCAGAGCTCAGTGCCGTGGCCATGACTCCTGTGTGCATGAATAGAAGTGACCTCATCGCGGCTCAGCCATTCAAACAGTGGGAGCTCACGAACCCCAAGAAAGACCGGATGAAGATGGAAGCCCTGTTAGCAGTGATGGCATGCACTGCAGGGCTTAGTTTTAAGGTACGTCTTTCATAATGTGCTAGTATGTGATGCATACTAGCACATTCTGACCTTAACTTGTGGGGATTTTTTTTTTTTAATTGTTTACTACTGCTTTAATACTTCTCCAGCAGAGTGCACAATGATAGTCCTTGAATTGCATGTTTTCTTTACTAATTTTCCTCCACTGAGGAAATTTGACACATTCTTAGCTTTCATTTTACTTGAAGGTGCTGAAAATCCCATGAATGTCAGCTCTGGGACAACTATACCTTAAAGGGAAACTAGGATCACTTTTATTTTCCATTTTTTTTGTAAGTTTTTATGTTGTTAAATGCTTTTTGATCATATACTGTAGCGGGTAGTGAAAAAAAAAAAACATTTAATACTAGGTGTACCTTGACACAGTATTCTTACAGCCCTATGGGTTTGTAAAATTGAAAGCACACCCAATGTTGTTTCCTTTCAGATCTTCTGTCTGTGATTTAAACCTCAAAATGAATTATGCAGAGGGAAAGAGGGCAATTCACCTGCTTGTGTGTGTGTGTGTCTGTGTGTGTAAATTTCAGCTAGGGCATGTAAACAAGAGGGTTTTTTTTCAGTAAAGCCCGTAAAGATACATTGCAAAACATGTGAAAGGGTAACCAGAGATCCACCTGCTGACTGAGGCTGAAAAAGAGTACAAAATGGCTATAGGGACATTTCAATACATGACTTGGCCTGACCTAAAAAAATATTTTATTTATAAGACTAATTTTATAGTCCTGACCAGGGGCGGACTAACAATTTGGGAACTCGGGCACTGCCCGAGGGCCCGGGGTCAGTAGGGGGCCCCATGAAATAGGGGTGTGGTTTGAGTGTGGGCAAAGACACAGGGGCCCCATGATCCCCTATTGCCCGGGGGCCCCATGAGTTGTCAGTCCACCCCTGGTCCTGACCGTAATAAGGAAAGATGATATTTACATAAAATACTATACATTCATTTTAGAGTAGACTTGGGTATATTACTAGTATTCTTAAGTACATGCTATATCTTTTGTGCTCAAAATATAAAGGAGAATAGAAGTAAGAAAGTCTATAGAATAAATGTACAAATCAGATGATCATCACTCTACCAAATAGAAATTGATCATTTTTATATCTGTGTGTTTGTTCTCAATTTACTTTTTTGGATTTTTCCACCTAATATCTGTTTTTCCAGAGATAAGGCTGAAGCCTGGAATGTCTGCTCAGTGCATACATTTGAATGCAAAGGAGATATGGACATGAATGTCTACATTAAAATCATGAATTTATACCCTGCTATTTTTCATGAAAAGACGTGTGTGTGTATATAAAATCTCAAGATGAAAAGAAGCAAAGATCTAACTTTTAACATTAAAAAAGAAATGGGGTCACAGGAGAGTCATCTATAATTTCTTTGTAGAACATTTCTAACCTTTGCAAACATCCTAAATGTAACCCATTAATCCTTTTAATCTGCCCTTTTAATATAACTGATATGACACCTAATTAACTCACCAGCTGTGCAGCACACAATACCTCAAAATCTGCTTAACCACTTGCCCTCCTGATGATCTACCCCCCTTCCTGACCAGGCCATCATTTGCGTTACGGCACTGCATTATTTTAACTAACAATTGTGCGGTCATGCAACGTTGCACCCAAATGAAATTTATGTCCTTTTTTCCCATGAATTGAGCTTCCTTTTGGTGGTATTTGATAGCCTGTGCATTTTTTAATTTTTCAGCTATAAAAAAAGTATTTATCGATGAAAAAAAAAAATTAAAAACTCCATGCAGCTGGGAGCAGTGATTTTTTTTTTTTTTTGAGCACAGACATTTACAAAAAAACTAATTGTAAAATTTTCAGCAAATGACCTTGACAGCTCTCATTAACAGCTAAAAAAAACACACACACACAGAGCCCCCCCAAGGGTCTGTTATGTATGTATTTTTGGGGATACTTGAAGGAGTCTGTGTGCTGTTTTTATTTTTTGGCCCTTCCCCCCCTGAACCATGCCAGCCCACATGCTCTTGCCATGGGTAGAACCTACTTTCAAAGCACCTTGTCCCCATGTTAATGAGGACAAGGGCCTCTTTCTCGTCAACCCCGAGGGGGGGGGTTTGAGGGGTCTGTGGACAGGGGGCTTCAGAATTTGGAAGCTCCTTTCAATAATAAGGTGGCCCCAAGGTACCAGCCCCCCCCCCATGTACCCCTACTCTCTCACAAAAAAAGTTGTAACCTAAAAATAAAGACACCCAAACATTTGACAAGTCATTATTAAAAAAAAAAAAAAAAAAAAAAAAGTCTCTTATTGTAAATACATTGTCAGTCACATCATCCAGCAATGCAGATCCACATCAATCATGATTCCGGATGACCCACCAGAAGAAAAAGAGACCCTAGAGCTTATTACTACTGAGCATGCTTAGGTTAGTTGAAAAAGTTTGGGAAGAAGGAGCTGCAATTGAGCTCTGGTGCTGCAGGTTGGTTTAAGGAATGAGCATGTGCCTGGGGCGCCAAGTGGCCTTACGTTGGATATTTATTGTAGCCAGCTCCCCTGAAGAAATACCATGGCTGTAACAGTCTACCTTAAGAAAAGACAAGAATTGTGGGGTTATATGATTTGTGGTTACGGGAGAGGAAACAACTGTGAGGCCTGCCTATGAAGAGATGGTCTGCTCCCAGTGTCTGCAGTGGGAACTGTGTTCCCAGAAGGACTAGAGCCAGTAAGGGCTGCAGTAAAAAATATTTGTGTTCCATTGTTTCTGCATGTATTTAAAGCCTATCTTGCCCTCCAGAGGATTTACCCCCTTCCTGACCAGGCCATTTTTTACAATATGGCGCTATGTTATTTTAACTGACAATTGTACAGTCATGCAATGCTGCACCCAAATGAAATTTATGTACTTTTTTTCCCATGAATTGAGCTTTCTTTCAGCGGTATTTGATTGCCTATGCGTTTTTTATTTTTTGCACTATAAAAAAAAAAAAGACTGACAATTTTGAAAAAACAATATTTTTGACTTTTTGCTAATAAACATGTCCAGTACAAAATTCTGCTACATGTCTTTGCTATAAAAAAAAAATCTCAATACTTGTAAATTAAATGGTTTACATGAAAGTTATAGCAGTAATCAGCAACTTATAGCAGGAATGCGGCGGGCATTCTGATACTGGGGGGAACTGACTTGGTGTCTCTGACATCCCCAGTGACACCAATACAGTGATCAGTGCTAAAAAAAAGCACTGACACTGTACTAATGGCACTGGGCAGGAAGGGGTTAACATGAACAGTGATCAAAGGGTTAACTGTGTGCTGGGAGTGTTTTATATAGGGGGCCATGTCAGTGTGCTTCCCTTAAGCACACTGCTTTGGATGGTTGTTCTGTGCACAGTCATCCAAAGCAGCGTGCCCGAGGTGAAAGGTAGGAGACCTGTTAGTCTCCCCATCGGAGACCGTTGGAACGCACCTGGCGCCGGCGAGTAATCACCGTCCGAGACACGGTGATTGACAGCCGTGGCCACAAATGGTGGTGTGAGTAGGGCACTCATGCCCCCTACCCAGAAATACAAAATCACGTGATTTTGTGCACCCCTGCCGCCCTATAGCAGTATATCTGCTATAGGGCGGTCAGGATGTGGTTAATATAATAAGAGGTGTAGCGCTAGAGATTATATTATTTGTGCGATTTCAAGTCCAAAAAACCTATGGGGTGTGCTAAAATGTCCTCTGATAGAGTTCAGACATAGGTACATATCTCCCTCTGATGAAGTGCCATTGCACGAAAAGCCTCAAGAGGAACCAGACAGAATGTGACATCACTGCCGCCGGAGCCTGGAGGAAGCCCGGCAGCCATCTTAACTCTGGGTTAGTCTGCTGCATTCCTGTCATTTTTGGATGCAACTACACCCTGTCTACTGCACTACTTTTTTAATAAAGTTTTTGAAGCTACTACACTATGGGCACCTGTTTTCTGGCTCCTATATGGAGCTATTAAGCCTACAGGTTACCCCAGTGATACAGCATTTCCAGAGGAACAGGAGCCCTGCACATAGGCTGAGCACCATATCTATCCTTAAGGGGACCTCTGAATTCAGCAGACAACCTATTACAGCTTGATGACTACACCGTAGAGGATAAGTTCACTGGAGTGACCTGCCCATCTACAGATACCTTGATGGTTTATATCACATGCGCTTTTCTCATGCGCTTCCGGTGAGTGCGCACTTTAGCTACTGGTTGGCGTCACAAGCTTGTCTGCTGTTGTTTATATCACCTTGGGATTCAATTCTCATTTTTGTTTTATTTATGTACCTATGTCTGAACTCTACCAGAGGACATTTTAGCACACCCTATAGGTTTTTTGGGCTTGAAATCGCACAAATAATATAATCTCTAGCGCTACACCTCTTATTATATTTATTGTTTATTTCAAAGGTTTTAGATTGGTACCTTTTGGTGTTTTAGCAGCTGCCTTTTAGGAGCACTCACTATCTTCATTTTTTTTATATGGGATGTGGTTAATGTTCAGGATCAGGATGATGAACACTCTAGTCTGTTATACCTATACCTATGCCCCAAAAGCTGAAGGGAGCAAACAGCCGACAGTACAAAGTGTTTACAATCCATTCAGTGCATGGTCCACAATGTCAGAGTGGAAATCCAATATAAATTATATATACTCATTGCTATAGTCTGCATGTCTTCCTGCTACATCCTATTCAGTTTCATTCAGTTTTATTTCAACAAACCAAACCACCCATTGTCTTCTCCAAATACATATTTTTCTATGCAGTCTGCTATGCAATTTTTTTTTAAACCTGCATATATCATGGTAAGTGCTGAAAATGTAATTATCTCAAAAGAGAGAGATTCTATATCTCCCAGTCCATTAAATAAAACAATGTCATTGTGTAAATTAATGCTACAGACAATATAAGCATCCTTGTATCAGATGTTCAGTAAATATATCAAGAGACAAGCAGAAAAATATATAAACTTCGTAATACTGTTTTGATACTTGTGTGCAGTGAAAGGTTTGCAATTTTTGGTTTGTGAAAAATATATTTTACGCCCTAGGTGGATTTTCCCTTTGTTGTTTTTAAGTTCTTTTTTCTCTGTAAATGTTATCAACTTAGAATCTGCTTGGTAAATTAAAGCATATAAAGAACATAAATACAGAGCATTAACAAGGTGGACAAAAACACAAATTACTATTTTATTAAAAACAGATTTGTAGGTGTCCATAATTTTACCACTGGCAAAATCTGTTTCACTAAGCTGCAAATGTGGAAGAAATTTGTGTGTTTCAGCCCATGAGTATATATAATGTTTCACAATCTAACAATTTATTTTACTGAGGAAGACATTAACAACTTAAGGTCCATCCTATAGCAGTTTTACTGGTACAGGGTGGCCTTCCTGTGCAAAATTGTGTGTGTGTTTGTGTGTATGTAGAGGTATGTGTATGTATGTATGTATGATATATATATATATATATATATATACTGTATTTATATATATTTAGTGTGTGTGTGATTTTGCACTATTGACATCAACAGATCGCTTCTGCTGTGAACACTCGGCGAGTGCAGATGAATGGATGTCCACCTGCACCCACCAATCATCGGGCAGGACACAGAGCAAAGCTCTGCCTATGTAAACAAGACAGAGCTCTGTTCTGACAGGGTGGGGGGATTGTGGGGGGTGTGAAGGATTGTGTGTCCCTGCAAAACTGGGAGCACGATCCTTTACTTCCCCTAGTAATTGCACCACTTAGAGTGCACAAAGCTAGGCACCCAGTTAACCCTTTGATCACCCTAGATGTTTAACCCCTTCCTGGCCAATGTCATTAGTACAGTGTTACTGAATATTTTTAGCACTGATCACATTAGTGTCATTGGTTACCACAAAGTATCAGTTAGTGTAATATTGCAGTCCTGCTATAAGTTGCTGATCGCTGCCATTACTAGTATTAAAAAATAAATAAATAAAAATTCCAGTATATGTCGCATAGTTTGTAGATGCTATAACCTTTTGTGCACACTAATCAATATACATATATTATATATTGTTTTGATTTTTAAAATGTTTTAATTGGATACAGGGCTGTCTTTAACATTGATTGGACCCTGGGCAAACATTTTCTTGGCCCCCCCACCATACAATTTTGGCCTCCACCGCAACAAGCTGTAGGTTACTGCATCTGCGTATCTCTCACTGATTGGTTGCTAGAGGTTACTGCACATTATTACTGATCATGGATTGGTTGCTATAGGTTACTGTGCATCATTACCACTTGCTTATTGGATTTCTAGAGGTTACAATGCATGATTATGACTCACTGATTGGTTGCTGAAGGTTAAAGCAGATGATCTCCTCACTGCCTGCACACCATAGACTGGAGAGGTGAGGGGACCCACCAATAGATCGAAAACTCCTAGCAATGAGCAGATCAGAGCACACACAGCTATAAAGGTTAGGTAGAAACAGAGTCCAATGTGAGCAGCATCCCCGAGAATTGTCTGCCAGGAATAAATGACTAGTCATCCTGTCTATAGTAGACTGGCTGGGAATAGATAAGTCATACAGGACAAGTGAGACTTACACAAAGTTTGTTCTCCCAGAGCAGCTTGTTGTCAAGTGTCCAGAGGCAGCCAGCACCCTCTCTCTCCTTCGCCATCACCTTCCTTCCCCACCGCCAGCTTGGGAGTGCACAGTAGCACTACAGAGCCCTGCACTCTGCCCTGCTAATACTGGCTGCAGACACCCTGCTATCTGCTAGCCAAGCCACTTTTCTCACTGGCACTTTGCCCTGTCCATCTACCAGTGGGCCGCTGCTGCTTAGGCAGGATGCCGTAGACTCCCAGGGTGGAGGCTGCATGTGTTATGTGTCCACACATTGCGAATTGTCAGCACTGGAAAGCAAAAGCCGATGTAACGCCACCCCCCCGAAGGAGCCACTTGGTAATTTTGGGGTCTCTGCTCTGCAACTCAACTCCAAAAACAAGCTTAGCCCCTCTGACACACCTAGCTGAGTAATATCACTATAGGCATGAGTAAATCCACAAGTGCAAAATACCTTTTAACCTGGCTGTAGATTACTACTAGTAAACAGACACACACCTGTTCAGTGATAATGGTGGTTGGAGCTGGTGAGCTGGGATTATTACGTGTAGACAGGGCTCTTTTCTCAGAAATTAAGTGCAGGAACTTGCGCTCCCTTGCCAACTCCCCTCCCCCAACCCTGGCATTCCTTGCAATGAGATGTAGAACAGTGCCAAATAATCTGCATCTTGCACAAGGCACAAAAGGCACAGAGTACAGCACTCAGTACTGCATAACACACAGGGCCAGGGAGTGTGTACTGTACAGTGCTGAGATGTTTGTATCACACAGAAACAGAAAGAATCAGCACAAGGGACAGTACTTGCATATCCCTTCCCAAAGGAATGCATTGTTCACCTCTGCACACCTCTTTGCTTACCTCTGTACCTCTCCCTGTCCACAGCTCCCCTCTGTACCCCCCATCCACACTTCATTTCTGTACCCCTCATCCACAGCTCCCCTCTGTACCCCTCATCCACACTTCACTTCTGTACCCCTCATCCACAGCTCCCCTCTGTACCCCCCATCCACACCTCCCCTCTGTACCCCCCCATCCACACTTCACCTCTGTACCTCTCCCTGTCCACAGCTCCCCTCTGTACCCCCCATCTACACTTCACCTATGTACCCCTAATCCACAGCTCCCCTCTGTACCCCCCCATCCACACTTCACCTCTGTACCTCTTCCTGTCCACAGCCCCCCTCTGTACCCATGCCTGACCACAGCCCCCCTCTGTACCCCCCATCCACACTTCACCTCTGTACCCCTGTCTGTCCACACCTCCCCTCTGTACCCCCCCATTCACACTTCACCTCTGTACCCCTGCCTGTTCACAGCTACCCTCTGTACCCCCATGCACACTGCACCTCTGTACCCCTCCCGGTCCACAGCTCACCTCTGTACCCTCCCCCATCCACACTTCACCTTTTTATTCTTCCCTAGCCACAGCTAACCTCTGTATCCCCCCTCCCCCATCCACAGCTCAGTTCCGCCCCCCCCCCCCATCCACAGTTGCCACAGCTTACCTATTTACCAAATCAACAACTCACCTTTGTACCTCCTGTGAACAAATCAACTCTCCCTGCCATCTGAAGCTTACACAACCTGCCCCTCTCCCTACACAACTCTCACCTCTTTTCACATCCCCCCACACCCACCTTACCCCTTCAGAGCTCTCGCTTCTTTGCAAATTTAGTCCTCCCTCATCTTTGAAGCTTTCATCTCTTTTCACAAATCTACCCCCTTCACAAATTCACCCCCTCCTTCTCACAGTTCTTTTCCCTTCAACCCCCCCCCCCCCTTCCCCAGCTGACACCTCTGCATCACACCTCCAACCCCCGCCACAGCTGATCTTCTGCACAAGCGACACCCCCACAGTTCTCACTCACCTGTATACAGAAGCCTCTCGGAGGTGCAGCAGGCACCGCTCTATTAGGTGTGCAGGGCTCTTCTTCCAACACTGTACAATCTCTGCCTATCAAACCTGAAGCACACAGCCAGAACACTTCACTGGGCTGTGTGCTACACAAGTCTGACAGGCTCTGCCTCACTCCCTGTCACAGCTGCTCCGATCCTACAACTCCTGACAGAGGGAGAAGTAGGAGGCTCTAGCACATGCAGCCCACAGCTGTGCCTCTCCCCTGTCACAGTGTGGCCGCTTTTATCAACCCAGACCAGAGAGCAAGGGGGAGGGGGGAATGGTGGCGCCCAATATACCGGGAAAACTAACTGCGAGCAGCGCGGGCTCAGGGGGCAGCTGTTTTGGGCCCCACAACAATGACAGGGCCTGGGTCAGCTGCCCCTTTTGCCCCACATTAAAGACGGCCCTGATTGGATATACTTTATAGCAGAAAGTAAAAAAAATATTGTTTTTTTTTTTTTTCAAAATTGTAGGGTTTTTTTTGTTTATAACGTAAAAAGTAAGAAATAACACCAAACAAAAGCTATAATTGTGGGAAAAAGTACACAAATTTAATTTATGTACAGCGTTGCATGACTGTGCAATTGTCAGTTCATGTAATGCAGTGCCATATAGCAAAAAAACGGCCTGGTCAGGAAGGGGGGGGGGGGGGGGGTAAATCTTCCAGAGGTCAAGTGCTTAAAATTCAGTTTTTAAAAATGTGGTGATTTTGCAGGCTTAAGACCAAAGGAAAACACATTTCCAGTTCTGGTTAAAATGTGAATAAATGATCCACAAGCAGGGCAGCAAGTCTAGAACATAGAATTGTTCCCTTTGGCTAGTTTTCAGATTTGGGGAATTACAGATACACCACAAGTAAGATCTGGGTTTCTTGTTTTTTCTAAACTTTCCTTTTTGTACATGTCATGTTAAGAGCTAAGAGCATGTTAAGCTGCTTAATGTAAAAAAGAAGTAAAGTATGGTATTAATGGTGTGACAGTGTGAGGCCCTGCCATGATGTAAATTTAGGAAAAAGACACACAGGATTCACATTAAGTCAGAGTGTGAAGCTCTAGGCCCTTGTCTCTGAGTGGAAAAGACTGGCTAGTCACTGTTCTTTTGAACCCCAGATAAAGAGCTAGAGCTTGAAGGCTTCCAAGTGTTTTTGCGTAGGATGAAGCTTTCAATCCTATGTTCAGGTCTTCCTGAAGACCTACAGAGTGTGTGTGTGTGTGTGTGTGTGTGTGTGTGTGTTCAGGTGTACACAATCATTATAAGCCAGGAGCTGATCATAAATCAGTGCCCTTGTTTTGGAGATGTGTGCTCCAGCAGGATAGCTGATCTACTCAGAAGACAAAGCTCCATGTTGGAGAGATTCCTTAACCACAAGTCGGGAGAGTTGGGACAGCTAAGCGAGTCTTCAGGACTGACAAAGCTGAGCCAACTAGTCCAGGGGACTGAATGGAAACTGTAGGCATCAGAAGAACACCTATAGAGAGTCCAGAAGTGGATCTGTGTAGCTGGGTGCTGCAACAAAAAAATGTTAAGTGAGCCTGATGTGCATCTGACAAGAGAGCAAGGTGGTTCACATTTTTCTGTTATCTGTTTGACTGGAAGATCCTCAGTGTAGCAACCTTTGTTTTAACTTTTATTTTTTTTTTTCAATAAAAGTGGGCCACCAAGGTCTTAAACCTTGTGTTGACTGACAAAAGCTCACTGCAAACTCTCACCACCACCACTGGTCAAAACATCTCCAAATGACAATGGGTATGTGCTCATGGAATGTACAATATACAAAGTTACAGTAAATAAGCAACAGAATTGGTAAGGCACATAATGGAGGACAAATAGAACTGTAGAGCAGTGTGAGTTCAGGTGAGTATCCAACTAATTTGGTGAGTGCACTGCATGGCAAACCTGAATGTGGACAGAAGTACTTCCACATAAACATCTGTGCCAGTTTGTGAGAAATCCCCAGCTCAGTAAACTCCTTTGGACCACAGAAAGTTGCATAAGTATAGAAAATGAAAATAAGTAGTAAGATAGAGTGGTGGGAAGAGAGAATTGGGATGGGGGAGGAAGGGTGTACAAGGGAATGGAGCCTGATAGTCACGGGCACCCGAAAACCAGAGCAATATCACTGTTAGCCCATAAGATATTTGTAGAATCTATAGGAAGGTATTATGCCATCCATGAGTTAAATATCTTTTAACTTTAGGCACTGGACCCTCAGACGTTTGCCAAGGTTTGCCAGACAACCATAAAATGAAGGGACATGAGATAAATTGGACTTTTTCTGTGCCTAGACCAGCACTAACGTTATTGTACCATATCCTTATATTCACAATTAACACATATGGACTATCTACAACAGACTTTTCAGGTGCCATAAATATTTGTAATTTAGACATAACCTTTCAGTTGAACCTTGAAGTCAACAA